TGATTTTCTAAGCCATATGCTTTTTCTTTGAGTTCTGTAACTAATTCTCACCCTGGCATTCATGGCCCCCACATAGCTACACAACCTCTCTTACTATTCCTTGCCCAGGTTTGCCTATCCTGCAGGCTGAACTCTGTTTCCCCTTCTTCTCCCTCCCCACAAAGAAATAACTCTCACCTCTTTACTACCTATCTACATCCTTTATATCCTCAAATTTCAAAAGCAGTCACACCTTCTCCATGAAGCCTTCCCTGGCTAGCATGCCAGCATACATCAATAGCTGACATCTCAGATGCTACGTACGGTACCTGTTACCTCTCCTACACCTTTAGTTCCTAGTCACACACGGTCCTTCATTCCCCAGGTGTGTCATGAGTACTGCAGAGCCCATCAGCTCAACCAAATGACCATTTCCTTGAGAGCAGGCACTTTATGGTAGAATCATGCAGTGCACATCGAGACGGACAGAAGAGTGTGGGGTCAAACAACAGGTTTTGTTGACAGATACCTGCATGCAAATCCCAGCCACATCTTTTACTTGTATGTGACTTTGGCCAGGAGCCTAATATCTCTGTGTAACTATTTTTTCATCCCTCAACAAGATGGGGGGTATTGTTATACTCCTGCCTCTCAGGTTGTTGGAGGATTTTAGGAGGGTGTGTGTGTGTGTGTGTGTGTGTGTGTGTTTTCAGGAAACATGCTTAGAATAGGACCCTACACTCAATTGTTGTTGGCCACATGTAAGAAAGGCTCAACCTACTCCATTCTCCATTCTATGGACCATGGGCTATAGGTATGAACAAATTCCATCAAATAATGGGAAGAAGGGATGGAGGGCAGACCTGGACTCAAATAATGAAACTACAACATAATCAGCATGATCATAGAGGAAAACAGAAGAATTGTGTAGCCCCCAGTGCCTGACACAGGGCATTGCCGTACTAGGTGCCCAATCCATGAGGAATGATGATTTCATTTGAATGGTGCTGGTGGAAATCTATTAAGTTGGTAATCACATACACCGTACCTCAAAAGAGTCCTTTAGTGGCTTTATAATGCAGAAACCACAGACGGGTTCAATTTGGCAGTGTTATTAAGCAAATAAATGGATTTTTAGATATTTAACTTCTAATCATATGTGAACTTCAGGAAGCTAAATGCTCCAATGACACTGCTAAATACCTCTTTGTTAGAAAGCCATGGTTTGACTTTTGAGGCAAAGTCGAGAGCCTAAATTCAACCCCATTAGTTCATATTTTGTCCAAAATGCAGTTTATAATGAAGCCAGCAAATTAGGTCCCTTGATCATAAACCTCACAGAAGGAAAGCAAACAGAGCATGAATCAAAAAGGCTTTAGACAGCAGTTGGCTATTAGTAACATATAAATTAAGTGTAAAATCAAGGGGGGGGGTTAAGTTCAGTGGTTACGGTCTCCGTGTAACTTAACACAAGCAACCTGAGTACAAATAACAGTAATACTACGACTAACGATGAGGATGCAAACTCTTTCATTATGTTTCTTGACAAAATGACAAGCTCACAAAGTTTGAGTGTGCCTCCTATTTTAATTCACTGCCACTGTCCTTCACTTGTCAGCTGCTTGTACCAAGTTGTTGTAGCCCAGATGGTGTCGAAACATCACAAGCTGCTCCCAGACCTCCTCTGTATTTTTGAACAATGGGGTGAGTCACCGTTAGCCACAAGTGTGATTCTATTACCACTCGCGGTTTGTATCACCAAACTTGCACAACTCCGCCTGAATCATGTTAATTAAGTTTTGAGTACTGCTATTTAAAGTTGTTTAATTTTCCCCTAGAGTTACACAGAGTGGGAACTCGGCCCATTGCTTTCAAAGGAGTTTGAACACTCCCAGCCGACCCCATTGTTTTCCTACATATTGAGAGAATGTTAGAACACACTGCAACGGCTCCTCCAACTATGGAAGCTCCTTCCCAGACTCTGCGGTCTATTGGCTAAATTTATATTGACGGATACTTCAGAGCATGGATTATTGAGCTAATAGACCACAACGCCTCGCTATTGTGTACATCAGAACCGTCACGCCTGTTTATAAGGCAGATCTGTTCCACGTGATTGCGAAGAAAAGGATATAAGAGAGAAGAGCTTTGAAAAGTCACCTCACTAGCACTGATGATGTTAGTCTTGTAAAATCATCTGTCTAGAAAACCTAGAGTACTCCAAGAACACTCATGCCTCATAATGGCCTATAAATGCTTTTGTAAGAGTTCCAAAAAAGTGCACAACCAGTACATTTCTGTTTTCTAATTTTGTGCCTTAAAAAAAAAAAGTAGAAATAGCCAACGGGCTGGAGTTTTTTTTCTTTCCCCTTTGACAATTTGTAAGAAAAAAAAAAAGTTCACTCTAAGGCTGAAACTTTGTGTGCCAAGTTTTTGCTTGGAACTAATTTTTATGGCTAAGTTATAAAGCCCCTGAAAATGGGGTGGGGGGCTCAAATGGAAATGCTGACACAGCTTTATC